GCTGAAGTTGGAACTGGGCAGACCCTTCAAGTTTGCAGGCACACATGAAGGCAGCTGCATTGATTAGGGAAATGAGAGGGGCCTCAGGGGGGTACAAGCTGGGGAGTCAGAGATGGTGCAAGGCCATGTTGGTCACTAGGACCAGGGTCAGGAAGACCAGTGGGAACTGGACTTGCAGGGGGTGTTGATGGGGTTGGCATTCCTTGTGTATGAGTCTGGAAAGTAGTGCTGCTCAATACCGAGTCAATCAACAGATTGTACTGGGTGAGCCAGTTATGCCCAAGAACTACTTTACACTCAGAATCCAATGGGGCTAGATACAGGGTTACTGGTGTGACATCTCTGGACATGAAGTGGATTGAGACATCTATTGCTTGGGTTATGGTGAATGTGGACATTCCATCAAAAAGCCAGAGTTGGATTGGTGAGACCAAGTAAGGGGTAAATGAATGTTGATTAACAAATTGATTATCTATAAAACAATGAGTGGAGCTGGAATCCACTAGGTGTTCACATTAGGTGCCTGTGCACCTCAGAGTTCGCATTTCTTACTTTGTTATGTTTGCTATTAACCCTACAACTAGCATTGGACACTTGGCTTCGCTCTAAGTGTCCTTGGTTTGTTTCTGTTTATTGTCTATCTTTGTTTATCATTTTTGCATACTTACTACTGTGTGCCCAGTGAAGTTTTCCTTCAGTCTCTTACACTGGGTACCAGTGGCCTGAAGCTGTGGTTATCTGAACACTAGGGTACAAAGCCAAGGTAAATCATGATTTTCTATAGTGATGTACAGATTCAATGAATTTGGGCTGGAAAGAGCAGACATGTTGCGTCTAGCCTCCAAGTTTGCACAACTGGAGTCAATGCAGCTCCTGGATTGTGTGGAGTCCCAGGAGCTGCTACCTATTTTGTTGTCTCAGGGGTAGAACCCAAGCCCAAGGCCAGTGCAGCCTTGGTGGTGGCCACAGTGTGAGCCTTGGCCTTACTGGCTTTCTTGGGGCATTTATCAGTGAAATGGCCAGGGCCTCTGCAGAACATGCAGAGGTTGCCCTCAATATGACACTTGCATTCCTCAGGAGTGAGCTTTCCATCCTTGCCAAGTTTGCTAGACTTGGGCTTGGATGAATTGCTGTTATTATTGTTGCCCAGTTTTGATGAAGCCAGCTTGGACTGGGTAGAACTGGTATTGTTACTGCTGGTCTTGGGCTTTTCCTGGCCAGTCTTGGACTGACTGTTGTTTCCAGAGCCACAAGACTTGTTGTTGTTGTTGCTGGAGGAGCTCTGATGCTTATTTGCCCATTGGATTTCTTCTTTGCACTCCCAATAGCATGCATCTATCTCCTGGGCAAGGTGGTGGACCTCATGTAGTGTCTGGGGCTTGCCAACCCAACAGACCTCACCTCTGATCTGGTCTGGGAGTGCAGAGTAGAAGTGGTGGTGCAGTGTACCATCTCCATAGCCTTGGACTTGCAAAGCAAGCTGATTGAAGTCCACCACATATTTATTGATGCACTGACTATCCTTCATGTGTAGATGGTCAAGTTGGCTCTCAGCATCAGCAACTGGGTTGTGAGGGCCAAAGGTGGTTTGTAGTTCTAGGACAAACTCCCTCCAGGAGTCCATCCAGAGAGGCCAGTCATCAGGGTCCTCAACCCCAAGCAAGTCCAGCTCGAACCATTCTAAGGCCATGCCCTTGAGGTAAGACTGCACAAAGATGACTTTGGCATGGTTGGTCCTAAAAGCCCAGGGGCAGTCTTGGAGATTCAGCTTGCACTGAATGAAGAAAGCACAAAGTTTCTTGGCTCAGTGCCATCAAAGGTATCAGGCTCATGCAACTTGGTCCTGCTTGAGGACTTGGGACTAGTGTGGGCATTGCAAGCCAGCAGTTTGATGGCCTCTGTGAGGTTGTCCAGGACTGTAATTGCAGGCTCAGTGTCTGGGTCTGGGATGTCTGGTTCATCCTCCAGATCATTCTCTTCCAGATTATCATCTCCAGGCCCATCGTTGCCAGGACTGTTGCTGGGGTCATCATCCTCAGGATTGTTGTCATAATCATCACCTGGCCCATCACTGCCAGGGTCATCCTAGGGATGGGAGCAGTGGGATGATGTGGGGTGGGAATATTGGATGTCTGGGCTGAAAAGCCCCTGAAAGGACTAATGGGATCTGGAGAGCACCTAGTGGTGCCCAAGGTAGCTAGTGCTGTCTCACAGTGAGTTCCCACTGGCTGAGGTGGAGCTGGGGTTGGTGGCAGAACAGCCATGGGGAGGTTGGAAATGAGCCTTGGTTGCCATGGTATGTTAGACCCACACAAGTGGTGAGTCTGAGATACTGTCAAGTTTGTGACATCCAGGTTGAGGCCAGACCAGAGACCAAAGTGGGCATGAGGCTGAGAGGGGTCAGGGTCAGAGGTGTAGCAGAGATACAGAAGGGTGGACTGATTGGACTTATCAACTGAGGTTACAGTGCTATTCCCTTGCATGGGTCTCAATCTGAGTCTGAGGCCAAGGCAGGATTATCAGAGTAACTTAATTGATTTCAGACTGAGGGGATACAGGCCAAGTATCTACAGGTTTATATACTAGAGACAACTATAGTATGGAGACTGGTAATGCCAGTCTCACAAGGATTGCTAAGATGATTGGTAAGAATAGCATTAGTAAGGTATGACAAATATGACCAGAGACTGGGACAGAGACAGGGCAGGCCAGGGACAAGACTGAGGCAGGCTCAACTGAGATGATGCTTAGTAATAACAATGCAAAGCAGTGCTAACCATGCTAGGCCAACTGGGGGTAGAGTTTGGTGAGGCTGAGGCCAGACTGAACAAGTGTGAGGCTGAGTCTGGCTGGGGTCGAGGCACAGCTATGACAGTTTATGGCATTTTGCCACTTTGGCCAGTCAGCTTGGGATTTTGCCTCCTGTACTGTCAACAGATCCAGCCCTTCAGCTTCAGCCATCCCTGCCACCATACATACATGATGTTAGTGTCATCTTCATCTGCAGCTAGTTCTTCATCAAATATGTAGGTAGCATTCTCCCAGGATTTTGGGCTGTTTGGGTTGCTATTGCTCTCTCAGAGTTCTTTCACAAAGTCAAGAGGGATGTGTCCATTGCAAGTTCCTTCACCTGCACATAAGCACCTCATATAGTCTGATTCAAAATGCTGGTAAGTAGAATGACAAGTTTGAGGTGGAGGTGTTTCAAAATTTTCTCTGAGTGGGTCCAAAATGGGTCTTGGAATTTCTGAAGTTGCTTCAGTGGGTTGCTCAACTATCTGTGAGGCCCCAGAATTTCCTTGTGAAACTTCAGAATTTCCTCCTGAGGCATCAGAATTCCCCTGCTCCCCCTTGAGTGGCACACTATGTGGTATGGACACATCCTGGCACTCAAAAATGACACTTTGTTCAATTCCAACTGCTCATGTGTCAGGCCAGTAGATGTGGTGGCCATCACTCTCAGGATCAAAACCTACCTAGTGTCCATCTTGGGCTTGCATGTCTAGCTTGGAGCTGGAGGTATCATGGACCTTGACATGGCATCCCTAGACTGGAATTTTTGAGAGGTCAGGTGGTCTTTGGTAGAGCATTTCATAGGGAGTTTTTGTGCCTAGAAGGCAAATTGATGAGTGGTTTTTGAGCCAAGTCACATGCATGATGGCCTCCCCCCAGAGGTTCTTAGGTAGACCACTGGAGTGAATCATTGCACATATGCACTCAACAAGTGTTCTGTTGAGCCATTCTGCAACTCTGTTGTGTTCAGGGGTATCATGGACAGTTATGCATCATTCTGTGCCTCAGGATTTCAGGTATTCTGAAAATTCTGCACTAAGGTATTCTCCCCCTCAATCCAAGCAAAGTCACTTGACTTTGGTGTCAAACTGCATGTTCAGACACGCTTCATAAGCTTTGTAGAATTTGAAGTTCTCAGCTTTCATCTTCTGGAGGTACAGCTTGGTGTAGTGGGTGTGGTTGTCCATGAATGACATGTAGTATTGGCTGTGGCCTGGGGTTTGGACTGGAGAAGGTCCCCAAAGGTCTGAGTGGACCTTGTCACCAAGGTGTTCATGGTGGGGTGGGTCACACTCCTTCCCAATGGGCTTCTGAGTCACTTTGGCATATTTGCATGAATTGCATGCACCCATGGTGGAATGTGCTTTGTCCAGCTTAATTCCAGTGATTGTGCCATCCTTCAGCATGCACCAGATGGCTTTGGGAGCAATGTGGCCAAGCCTGATGTGTATCTCCTCCATGGTTAAGGCTTCCATGGCCTTAGCTAGGCCTGCAAAGGCACAACAAGCTCATTTGAGGCAGTAGAGCCATTTTTGCACTGGAATTTTGGCTACTTTCTTTTTCTGAGTGTTGAAAATTTGACAATGCTTGTCTCAGAATAATGCAGCATACCCAGTGACATCAAGTTTGCTAACAGAAATGAGCATGATTCCCATCTTTGGAGCATATGTAGAGCATGTCCTTGAGTTGAATGTGGGTTTGTGCAGTGCCATTTGGGAGTGAGATTGCAAGGTCACCTTTCCTGATGGCATGGAAGGTGTGATTGTCAGCAGCAGTGATAGGTTTGGGAGTGATTGGCTTATACATCAGTAAATCACTTTGAGCTGTGGAGCTCTCCACAGTGCTCCATAATACACAGAGTCCCCTAGCTAGGTCCAGGCTGGACAGATGCACCCAACAACACTTTTTACTATGGCTAGTTGCCTGTTACTATGGAATGGTCACATTGTCATGGAACTTTGTCCAGTATCTTACTTACTATGGATTGCTATGGAAATTTCATGCTTAGATATCACTGTACAAAACTGGCCAGACTGTATTCTCCTTGGGGTGTTGTCCAGTACTCCCCATCTCAATGTTTACTTTGCAAACATGTGATCACTCCACAACTAGGAACAGTTCACAGCAGGTATGACAGGAACAGGAGCATTGGCATCAATTGTGTACTACGTGTAATGACAGGTACAACAGGACTAGGTATTATGAAATCAATCAAGGACTGCCTGAATGTGCTGGTACCTCTCTACATTCAAATCAACCTCTTGCAGTGCAGCCCTGATATGAGGAGTCAGCATGAGCATGTCAGCTGCCCCAGTACTTACCATCCATCCTTTGCCCACTGAGAAAGCTGATCATGCAACCTTGCACCGTGATAGGGATTATGAAGGATGTTGTTCAGCACCTTCATCATGCCATGGAAAATGGAATTGTAAGCCTTGCCAGAGAATTGAGGCATCATCTTTCCTGTGCTGTTCTTCACAAATCCATCCAACACACAATGATACTGTGAGAAAAGTTTGAGTTGCAGCGACTTGGGGTGTAAAATAACTCACCATGGCTGCAATGAGAGCCAGACAGGAAAGAGGAACTGAATTGTTGAAGGACTCAGGATGCTTATCCACAATTCAATAGGTCCCAGTGTAGTAGAATTGTATGACAGCTTCCTTGAGGGTGGGGTGAGCAAAATTCCTGGTTTTTCCCTGATAAACCAATCTGTTAGTAGTGCAGACAATGAACCACGTGAACATACATTCTTGTCAAAACCACCTCACAGGAAAAGCAAGTTGTCAAGGAGCTTTGTGGCAGCAGTCTCTATCCATTGTACATGAACCCGTGGTGCAACATCAGAAGGAGGGATAAGGTTGAACATGGATGGCATGGTTGCCAGCATAACTGACTTCAATTCCAAACACCAGGTAGATATATCACCAAGGAGCTACCAGTGGTATGTCAGTAGCTGTAACCAAAAGATGGGACTACTTATGAGGCATGCCATTGTTGCTATTAGTGCCTGTGCACCTCAGACTAATTCCCAGGTTCCCCACCTTCCATATTAATGATGTGTGCACTTATTTTCTTCAGTTGTTCTTTGTTTGTTCAGTGTTCACATTTTTACTGTGCACAGAGTATCTTGTTCTTTAGTTACTGACTCTGTGCACATAGGTGTGTAAAACTACATAGACAACAATTTAGTTACTGACTCTGTGCACATAGAGTGCTGAGTATTGGGATATCTTAACAGCCATATCTTGCTTGTGGTTAGGCTAGTAACCTATAAAGTTAGGATAACAAGACATGTATAAAGCAAAAATATTGTTACTCACCATCTTCAAATTGCACACTGCATTGATTCCACTCAATGACAACAGTGATGAGCACCTCTGTTATGGAGAGGTTGAGGTTGTGAGATTTCGATGGGAACAGGTTAGAAAGTGCATGTGCAGCCCTGCATTACTTGCTTAGCATCTTTGAGACAGTCCTTCCATACTGCCTTGTAAAATCTCAGTTGTGAAGGCAATGGGCCCTCATCCTTAGCTTTCTTGGAGTTATGAGGGGCTCTGGTGTGCTGAGATACTTCGTTGACCAAGTCATGTGCAAGGGTCAGAAGATCATGATCGGGAACAGGATGGCCATTAGTGCGATGGTGGCATTCAAGAACGTCAATGACAGTGCCACATTGGGAACCCTAAAATAACAATCTGAATAAATAAAGCTAGCAGGAATGGCATTTTCATACCTCTGGCTGAGCCTTGTCCTTGGATTGTAAGCTTTGCAGAGCCACATCATCATCCTCATCACATGAGTACTGAAACTCATGGTCAGGGGGTAAGGAATTGTGGCGAATAGGATTGCTTGTCATCATTTCTTGGGAGAAGCCTAACAAAGAATGTTGAGCCAATACCATAATAACCTCTGATGCATACCAGGATGAGTTGATTGCCTAAGATTCGTTGCACCCCATCCAAATGCATCATCCTCATCTTTGTCAAACTCATTGCTGGAGACCTCACCAGCCTCTGCATCCGATGGGTTATTACTCGAGGACTCTGACTCCTCTTCTGAGGAGCCCTCTGATGACAGCTTCTCCAAACTCTTGTGGCAAACATCAGCAGTTGCTGAAGTTTGTCTCAATGAGAGTGAGCTATCAAGGGAGGGGTTGATACAAGAGTCAGGGACAGCAGCAGGTTGCTGGTGGGGGATAAACCAAGACTGGTAGTTGGGCTGGGGTGTTGGCAGATGAGATGTATTACTGGGAACTTGGTCTCCCTGAATCACAGTAGTATAAGGATTATTGAGCACTTGAAGGTCAGGTTCCATCCCAGGAGGCATGATATGACCTGGCTGTTGAGCCAGAACACTGAAACCAAAGTGATGGGAGTCTGTGGGGTGCTGATGGAAGACAGGTGTTGCTACTGCTGTTGAAGACTGAGGGACAGGATTCTGAAATGAACATTGTATATCAGTATGAAAAGACAATCACTGGAGGCATATCAACTGGGCTAGGACCATTCACAATGGGAGGCACATAGGGTGGTGGGGCAACATTGGACTTTGCAAGCAGTTAGCTTGATATTTGCAAATAACTAGAACTGACCTTCGGTTTTGCATTCTGGCCAGCACTGTGGCCCCCACCCTTCTTCTGCCAAGTGGGTGGAGGTGCAAGAGGATTTACAACAGAATTGTTGGGGAGATCTGTCAACTTTTGTGGCGGTGTAGCTTGGCCTTCAAGGGCAGTACCAATCTGCTCCAATTGCTTGGCCCTTCCACCTGAACCCACCCCTGCCCTTCCACTATGACAGAGTCCCACTGTGGCAACAGACTGAGACTCTTTGAGATCGATGGGTGGGCTTCCTAGACACTTGTGTTTTGTGGGTCAAGTGCTTCTGTTGGCCTCTGGTCATCATTTGGCTTTTTTGCTATCCTTCTTTTTTGGCAGGATTGCTCCAGATTGGGTGGACATCTGAAGGTACAAGCAGTTAAACAGAGAACAGTATAAGATGGAAGCCTGGGGACCACAGCAAAATGACATCTTGTGAATCCATATAAACATTGACAGGTTCATTGTGAGATGTAAAACGAAATGACATGCAGAGATGGTTACCCACTGCAAATGAATTGAAACACTTTACACATAATGTACAGAACGTGAACTAAACATAAAATTCATACTAAGACTACACACCTTTGAAGCATTTATTGGGTATAGGAGGGTTATCCATGCTCCTTACCTCTTCACAAAGGCGTTTAGAAGATGTAATTGCCAAAGACATGACATCCATGTTGTTCTCCTGACTCAGATGCATGCTTGAATTAAGTGCTTTGTGTTGGGTGATGATCTGCTGGAATGCATTCATCATCTCCGGTGGTTTCTTGTATGGCATGCTGGCCAAGAAATGATCAAAAAGGGAGATAATGTCAGAGAACTGCACTGCAGTTCTGCTCAGCAGGGACTGCCCAAGCAATATGCACCACTTGTTAGCCAGAGGGATTAGATCTTGAAAATATTGCGAGACCTTGGAATCCAGCCTCAATTCAGATGGGTCATTAAGGAATGTGAACTTGGCACATCTGGTGATTTTGAGATCTTTGGCCACCTTTTCACTCCACAAGCCAAGAAGTGTCTTTTCATGGCTGATATCTTGACACTTGTGGCCAAGTGGCCCATCATAAAGGATGAGGATCCAGATGAAAACATAGAACAGGGATTCAATACCATCTGCAAATGTATGGTGTATAGTAGTAGGGTGATCAATGAATATGTGGGTGAGAGGGGCACTTTTCCAGATTGATGGGACATTAGTCTTTCCACTTTTAGTGATGGCTTCCTTGAGTTGGCAAAGGATATTCACTGAAAGGAAGGGGACTGTCCCCTTTGCATACTATCAGCTTCGAGTTCCAAAATGTTTTGCATAGTACTTACTGCACCACCCAAGTCATATTCCCCCTGTAATGTGACCTGCACAGCAAATTCCCAGTCAAGGAGAAAGTTGTGTGACCCATTTGTGAAGTCCTCGATCATTGTATTGTTGATGCTACAATCTTGATGGAGGACACCCCTCTTGAGAGCCTGCTGTTGGACAGTTAAAGCAATTAGTATTGATTTTACAAGTGGAAGAGGATATGTACTTTGTAAAATATCTCAGATGCATGAAACAAGTTCCTTTTTTGTCTTGAACATTACCATTGGCCTTGCACACAGCTTCATAGCCGATCACACATGAGTTTGTTAAGATAACCACAGACTGAGGCCACTTGTGCCCAGTGTAAGAGACTGATATTCAAGGGAATACTACATAAGACATACCTTGTGCCCAGTGTAAGAGACTGAAGAAAATTTCACTGGGCACACAACAGTAAGTGTGCAAAAATGATAAACAAATGTAAACAATAAACAAAAGCAAACAAAGAACACTTGGAGCGAAGCTAAGTGTCCACTACATGTCTGTAGGGTTAGATAGAGATAAAACAAAAGGAAAATGCAGTCTGAGGTGCACAGGCACCTAATATGAACAGAGTTCTCTGAGACTTCATGCACAATTGCCACTTCTCATCACGATATTGTTCAGTTTTATTGACAATGCCCAGCTCAACCTCAATGACCCAGTAGTGTTGCAACTTGGGAACTCTGTTGATGTCCTGGACCAGCTTCATCATGTTGACTTCATGCAGGGCTGTCCTCTGCTCTGACTCCTCCACCCAATAATCCTTGATGACATAGTATTCCCCATTGTAGCATGCAAGGGAACACACAGTACCCCTTCCTAGAAAGCCTGTGCTCAAGAATAATACATCAAGCACCTTGTAGAAGGTCTTGTTTACTTGGATCCTCCCAATTGCTGGGATGTGTTTGGGTGATGCAGGAGCTGGGAGTGAGTTTGCACTGGGGAGGATGCCTGACTCCAAGTGAGGAGAAGGCATTGCAGGAGAGGGGAAAGGGGAGAGAGGTATCACAAGTGCTGTGCATTTGTGGCTGTGTGCAGGATGGGGGATATCTCTATGGTTGAATTGAAGCCAAGGGTTGAGCAGGAGCCAAACGCAATGGCACATACAATGTATGTGAAGACTTCTGCATCAGTGTGGATATTGATAGAGGGTGAGATTGCACCACCAGAGTGGTCATAAAAGTGAAGTTGAAGAAGTTCACTATCAGTAATTGATAATCCAAGGACATAGTGCCTCCAGGGCTGGTCAACAAGGGTTAGATATGTCTTAGTGTCCATTGTCTTCCCAAGGTGGGATGCTGGCTTGAAAGACTCCTTTGAGCACTCAGCAATGACTTTGGGACTTAACCATGTAATCTCATTGAGGGATACTGGGGTGTTATCAACAAGGATGAGGTCGGGCTTTCAGGAATAACCTGTAGAACCTTGCAAGCTGGTTCTGCTCCAGTCTGCCATCCATTGATGCTGGGGTTTGCTGGATAGACTGGGCATCGTGGATTTGGTGGTGGTTCCGATAGCATTGAGAAACAGAGCAACTTGCTTTTCAAAGCAGAGCTTTTCCAATTCTCTGGCAGCTCTGAGGCAAGTGGCCCAGGTTGCTCAGGAGGTGAATCAGAGTCTGGGGGTGGACAAAGCTCCCAGTTCCAGTGCTTTCTATCATTGTTGTATAGGCTGACCAGGCTGTCCTCTGACAAGCCACCCTGGTTGAAGGAGGTGGAATAGCTATGGACACATGTGGGAATTGTTTTCAGAGGGACAATCAGGGACCTGGGAGCTATGGAGGTAAATGTATCTCTGAAGGACTCAAAGATAATATTTGTAACATAACCAAGGCTCTGAGGAGAGCTAACTTGTATCCATGGTTCATGGATGATGGTGCCCTCAAGTTCTGAAGCAGTGAACTTGTCCATAACATGAACCACGTGGCCATGTTTGGGCAGGGGGAGAGAACCAATCAGCTTGTAGGTACTATCTATTGTTTGATATCTGTTTTTGTTCAAGTCTTTGGACATTTCTGAGGGTTGTTGACAAGTAGGGTCACACATTTGAAAATGGTGCCACCGCTCAAAATACTGATGCATTTCAACATTAACATGTAATAAGCTCTGGTATACAGTAAGGTAACATGTATGTTGACTAGATGGGAGGAGAGTCCAAATGACTTAGGGCAAAGTATGTATTTTTGTTGAAGTATTTGTTGAGATAGAATTCAGTAGAATGCTCAAAGGAGTTGTATGCCATCAATCGATTTTCTGCAGTTTGCCTGAAGCGAGGTATGAGATGTGCAAATGCCTGGACCTGACTGAGCAGGATGACATCACCAAGATGTTGGCCATTCACCCTCTTTGCATGCCTAAGGATATGTAGGTGTGTCGCATCTTCAGCTGCTATGTCAAAACATTGTATGTAGACCAAAAAACAGTCTGTCCATGACCATCTTACCCCCCTCTTGCCAAAAGGGTGCATCAGGAGACAGAGCTGGCCAACAACATGACCTAAGATACTCTTGTGAGTGACATGGAAAAGTAGTGTGGACCATGAACCTTTCAGGCCACTCTCTGGCCATTTGAAATGGGGGTCCATGTTGATGATAGCTGCATCATAGCAGCCAAGGGCCCAGGTCTCGCAAGGTGGAGAACAGAAGAGAGTCTGGGCAGGGAGGATGTCCATGATATCATGTATCACTGTGTTCTGCAGCTGCATCTTGTACCAAACCTGCAGATCAGTAAAAGGCAGGGTTGAAGAGCTTGATCCCTGATGTTGCCTGCTTATAGTGTGCACAGAGCTTGGTCCATACACCTTCTCACAATTTAGAAAATTGACAAGGGCAGCTCAGAGGTCAAGTAGTCCAAACTTCTTGGCAGCACCATCAACACTAATGTGTCGCAAGGGTGGGTCATAGGAAAGGTTGATCGCCATACCATCTGTGATAAAACTACACAAGGGGAAGGGAATGGAGTCTGAATCCTGGGTCCTGAGGCATGCAGAGATGGCGAAGTAATTGGTGATGGGCTGCATGGGACCTGGCATCTTGGAAACTAGATTCGCCTCCTCATGATCACTGATCTCACTGTTGCCATCATCAGAACTCCCATCCTCAACCTCCAAGGACTTTTCTTCCACACAACCATGGGAGTGAGTCTTTGATTCATATAATGATGTTGTGAGTTCAAACATCCTACATTTTTCAGCACGATCGAGGTACTGGCAAATTTGAGGATCATAGTTATTGTTATTGCTAGCTGATGCAGGTGTCTTGATCTCCGATACATGGGCATGTTCAGTTACATCGGCAGTCCATTGGATGGTGACCCCAACACACTTCACACTTGGTATGATGCTCTGCATGAGTTCTAACTTGGGGATGTGCCAATGTTGATGGGCTTGTTTCCCTTACTGCATCATGCACTGTAATCAAGTATCAACTGCTTGTGCACATGAAACTTGTCCAGTACAGAAGATATTATATGAAGATCATCGTCATCAATGTGGTAAGCTTGGACTCAGTATTGGACGTCCATGAGCACATGAATAGCAGTAATAATTTTGGGAGGGGCTGCTCCAATGATAACACCAACAATGTAACATTGGACATCATGGTGCATGCATCCAGTCACCTGCTTCAGCTTAGCAACACCACCTTTAAAGTGATGGAACCCTGCAGTTGGCTGTAAAACTGAGAAGCAAAAGTTGATTTTGGCTTCACCAACCACATTTATGCACCACTTCATGTCATGGTCCCAAAATTCCTTGTGCAGGTGGTGAAGGGGCTCTGGAATTATAAAAGTGCTTGGACAAGAAAGCAGAATGTCCCTCCAAAATGGGTCACTAACTCTGCTGAGGCAAAAGCGCTGTGCTTTGTGAAAGAAGACTTGGATGTTTGTAGGGTGGACCTTTGATTTCACCACTGCGAGCTGAGCCAAAGTGGTGGATGCAGTTCGTGGCTCATGTCAGAATGGGTCTCCAAACTGTTTGTACATCGCCATGGTGATTGGGGAAGTCTTTCCCCCAACAGCTGCAAGCATGGCAGCCTTTGGAGTGTCAGCGATATAACCCACAATTGGCGTGAAACAGTACCACATGTGCCCCAGAGAATCCAGTAACATAATGCTGAGTTTGGCAGCTTGCTTGACAGGTTCAAGTACAATATCCAGGCATTCATGAATGAGCCTATCTTTGAGGAGGCCACACATATGCTTGTTCTTGTGCATGAACTTGGGGATGGGGAGGAGAGTGGTGAGCATAAATGAGTTGGATGACAATTTTAGGCATGTGGACATCTTGATATTTGCTAGGCTGATGAGAAGTGGATGAGCAACTCTGCCACCACATAAAGTAGTAATATTCATCTTGTCTGAAGAAAGTATCATGCCAAGAAGAGTCACTCCACTTGGAAGCTGTGACTGGGGTACATCAATTGAATAAAAGGATCTATAACTCACAGTGGAAACATGCCTGCATACACCAAGCATCATCAGCAGTCATCCACTCTGTATACACCCTACAAAGCTTCTCAGGTGTATTGTATACATGCCTCAGAACAAAATCGAGCTGGTCAGAGAACAAAGGGTGGTTGAGGAGCCATGCAATGCATTCCAGGGGATCACACCAGTACAAGTGCACAGGGTGTTTGGTTGGCTGCAAAGGAGTAATCTCCATTGAGTGCCAGCATGACCTGCCAGGGAGTAACTCAGCCAGCCCATGAAGTGCTCTGGCTGTATGAAAGGAAATATTTAGTAGCTGTATCTGGCGCATGTCAATAATGATCTTTGGAGAGAATAGGGACAGGCTTATGATTGACAATGACAAGAAAGAGTCTATAGCTCTCATGCTCAGGCCTGAACAAAGTAACCATGATGCCAGTTCCCATTCATTGTGGGAGTTGAAGGGGTAGTACAGATTTGATGCCCGTAGGTTGCTGAACTGGTCACCATTAAATTTGTCCATAAATGTTGGGCCAAGTCCAAACATTTTAGCTGCACCCTCAAAGTTGTCTGTGGTTGGCCCCCACATGTCAAATGCCATATGAACAAAATCCAGGTAATCATGAGTTGCATAGTCATCAGGGTTGGTGCTCATTGGGACATCTTCTAAGTGTGTTGGGTGTTGAGAGTTACAAATGTTCAAGCTCAAAGGTTGGAGAGACTCATGAAGGCAGACTAAGTTATTGACCCAGGTATTGCACCCAGAGGATGGCTGGCTCATGTGCATTGTGACAGCACTGTGACTCCAGAAGCTGCCTTTACTGCAACTTGGACAGTGGGGCATACTCTAGATGGTCAGGCAGGCCGATTCCATGTTATGTGATTATCACTTCAGTGTGAATCAGGATGTTGTTTGGATCACTATGGAGTGTATTTCTCATATACTACCCAATCACATCCCATTTGTGAACATAGTCACTCATGTCTGTTTATAACCTCAATCACACACACCTTCATGCTGGATCAACCATGCCCACAGTTGAGCATCACCCAGGCGGCAAAGGACTGCCTCATAAGCCTCATGATGGCAGGTTCTCTTCCTGCAACAGTCCCTCTAGCAGTGCTGAGGTCAAAGCAGAGACAACTGGTGTCTTAGCTGAGATGTATGGAATATTGGAGTCATCCACTCACACAGTAAGTTCTTTTTTTCCTTCCTAATAACCACTCATTGATAGGTTTTCAATCTGCAGCATGAATCAAAGAGTCAGCTGAATCACAAGGCACTTCTCCTTCTCGATGTAGCACACACACACAACACAAAGTCTTTCATGCAGAACAAGCTCTGGCCACATGCATCACCCACAAATATGAATCAATGGCCAAGTTGTACAAGTACAAGGCAGGCAGTGGTGAGGCAAGAGTCCACAAAAAAGATATGGAGGTTGGCTCATTATGTGTAGCAATGAAAAAACATGGACTGGGGGAGCCTATTTTTGACATTAGTGTTCTGGCCAGTGAGCTGCAGCCATCTCTCAAGTCTGATGGTATGCTATGCTCGCTCTTTTCTTTTGGGCCACTATTTTACTTATGCTGGATCTTGATAGGCACAGTTATTGAGCATGCTGGTAGTCAAATACTCACCATTCATCTAGACTAGTACTATCCATTACTTTCCTGTACTTATCAAAAAATGCTGTATGTTATGTCTGTGTTGTTGCCTTCATGCATAGGGACAAAGTTAGATCTACCAAGTTCTCTACTACAGTGGGAATCTAGGTTGCTGTATTAGCTAGGTGTGTCTGTTCCCTTGTATGCTAGGTAGCTATTGGTCTTTGGATTGCTGGTATCACTGGTATGGCTTACTCAGGTGCTATGAGTTGCTTGGATGCTGGCCACTACTTTGGGCAAGTCTGGTGTAGTCTACTCTGGCACTATGAGTTGCTAGGATGCTTGACATTGCTTTGGACTAATATGGAATTGTGCAAATACTATGGGCAGCTATGAGTTACTAACACAGTTTTGTGTTTTGCTGATGTAGTTGAGGAATTTGCTGCAGTAGGAGGACATATGACATGAAGCACCTGAGTCAAACAAGATGGTCTCCTCTGTGGAATTTAGGCTTTCACCTGTGAGCAGAGCATGATCAAAGGTGTTCATGTATGCTTCTTCTTCATCAATAATGATGTCCTGGGGGTTCAGAATTTCTTCCTCTGCAATTTCCATGAGCCAGTCATCATCCTACAGGTGTGCTAGCCAAACTCCATTGGGTTCCAAGTCAGCACTGGTCTGTGCACTCAAGCTGGCTGATGCACTGGCTGCCATGGCTGCTTTTCTGGTGCCTTTATCCTTCTGTTTCCCTTTTCCCTTGTTCTGGAACCATTTGGGCACTTGCCCAGCTTTTCCACCATCCTCTTCCCAGCACTGGTCTCTGGAATGACCTTTCTTTCTGCAATTTTCACAAGTAGACTTCTTTCCATCCTTTGCTGAGTAAGCTGCATCTTTGGAATTTCCAGAGTTTCCAGTGTTGCCCCTCTTCATCCACATTTGGTGCCTATCATATTCATCAGAAATTACTTTGATTATGAAGTCCAGAGATACAGTGAGAGACAAAAGTGTTGCAATGTTTGAGAGGTGTGACTTGCTGCCAATGTAGCTCAGGCTATTCTGCACAGATAATCATGATACCTATACCATTGGAAAGGGGTGGTTCTAAGCTTGCCAGAGCACTAAGGTTCAGTCTAAACAAATCAATACATGCTGAGATACACCCTATTCTTTCCAAAAGGTGCATTGCAATGCTTTTGTCCCTGACTGGTGATATAGTGAAAGGTGACCTTTTGATGGGATTGAGGGCATGAAGGATAGGAAAATATGATTACATGATAAACCATATGATCTTCCAGATGATTTGTCAGCATGTAAACAATGACAAACATTGGACTTGTACCATTAACCCTCCCTCTTTTACCACAACTCATGAAATCATCTCTCTAGCTCACATGGTCATTTTCTCAAGGAATTCTTATCAAATACTGGTGGCCACCACAGTGCCATCAGTATAACATGCTCTCAGAACCATCAGTCCCTTAAAAAACCTGTTGTCAGTCATTCCCTGGACTGTTTCCCCACCCATGCCTGATGTGTTCTGGGAATAATCAGTACTTGGAAGGCTGAAAATGTTATGGAGGTCAATCTGGCACTTCAGAACATGATGGACAAACCAGTCCCCTCTCAACCAATGCATTTCTGGCACAGGGACAGTGGTATGGAAGTTAGGGCAAGACAAAATCCTCTTTACCCCTGGGTGTCATCAGAAGGATATGCTACTGAACTGCCATGGAGCAGAATCCTGTGCTTCCATCTGGCCCTGAATATTGCCTTTGGTCACATATGACCAAATAATCCTTTCCCAGTCATCTACAGTTCAGATCAGAGCAAGATATAGTGAACCCTCTTATGGTGCTCAGAGCACAAGGAGGTTTTACCTCACCCCAACTTCCATACCAGTGTTCCTGTGCCAGAAATGCATTGGTTGAGAGGGGACTGGTTTGTCCATCATGTTCTGAAGTGCCAGATTGACCTCCATAACATTTTCAGCCTTCCAAGTACTGATTATTCCCAGAACACATCAGGCATGGGTGGGGAAACAGTCCAGGGAATGACTGACAACAGGTTTTTTAAGGGACTGATGGTTCTGAGAGCATGTTATACTGATGGCACTGTGGTGGCCACCAGTATTTGATAAGAATTCCTTGAGAAAATGACCATGTGAGCTAGAGAGATGATTTCATGAGTTGTGGTAAAAGAGGGAGGGTTAATGGTACAAGTCCAATGTTTGTCATTGTTTACATGCTGACAAATCATCTGGAAGATCATATGGTTTATCATGTAATCATATTTTCCCATCCTTCATGCCCTCAATCCCATCAAAAGGTCACCTTTCACTATATCACCAGTCAGGGACAAAAGCATTGCAATGCACCTTTTGGAAAGAATAGGGTGTATCTCAGCATGTATTGATTTGTTTAGACTGAACCTTAGTGCTCTGGCAAGCTTAGAACCACCCCTTTCCAATGGTATAGGTATCATGATTATCTGTGCAGAATAGCCTGAGCTACATTGGCAGCAAGTCACACCTCTCAAACATTGCAACGCTTTTGTCCCTCACTGTAGGTCCTTTTGCATGACCAAGGCCAAAGATGTCATAGCTGCAAGGTTGGAGTCATATGAAGTGGGAAGTGAGCTGAGAATGATGGCTGTGAAGTCATCATCTGTGACAGACTGTCCAAGTGTGGCACGTTGTTCATGCAGTGCATGCATCTTGTTGAAGTGAGCACAGACATTGCCTTTTTCTGCACAGCAGGATTCTTGGAGTTTTCTCTGAAGATCAATTGCAACAACATGAGAGCAGTTTTGGAAAAGATCTGTGAGGACACCCCACACTGTCATGACCATGACATTGGCATAAGCCCCTAACATCTACTCTGCCCTCTTCTGCACCCTGGGAACCTTTCTCCACCCTCTTCTGATGCATTCCCATGCTCCTCTGACCCTTCCAACATGTATCTGCACCTCTCTGAGGTCCCCTGTCCATATTCTGACCAACTCCACCCACCTCCACTCTCTGGCCAGTCATGTGAAGGCCATACCTTCACCTGTGCCTCCTCTGAGACCTTGGTTGGCTTGTCAGGATGTTGGACTTGCAACCCTGTGTCCCAGATAGGGTTCCACCCTTGTGTCAGTCTTTCTCCATTCTTCCACTCCTTCAGTATTTACTCTTTCTCCCTTGTTGTAGTAGTTCCCTTGTCTCAGTTAAGGTCCCCATTGTCCCTATCCTCTATCCCTTGTGTCAGAGGTACTGCTAACCTGTTATATGTTTATTGGCTTGCATTCTACACTGCCCTGCCCTTGACCTACATCATATAAGGCTGCATAGTACTCTGATGTAATCAGTATGAATATTGAATAAAGTCCCCACTTCTGACTCCCTCTCAGCTCCCTCCAGAGTTTTGTCTTCACTCCCTCTGAGTCCACTCCACCTCTGAAATACAAGGGCTGAGCTCATGCAAGGGGGCAGCACACTAGCTGAACCCAATGCCCTCTCATCCAACCTCTGCCTCCAAAACTTTCCTCCATACCCCTCTACTCACTGTTTCTTGCATATCTCACCACCCAGTGGTCAGATTTGCTTCAGACTTTGACCACTGTACTCTGCAGCCCAACCCACTCCTACTCCACCCTAAGAGGAAGTCAGGGGTGTTGTGTGACCTTGACACACACTCTCTTTGCAGTCCCTTCCTTCAGAACTCAAAGGAACAATGATTCTGGGAGTGACATGGCAATCACTTGCTTGACATATCTGTCATCCTTTGCCCATTGCTGGAGTTTTTCTGGGTATTTGCTGACAAGTTTTTGCTCTGTGACTGTGGGCTTCCAGGAGGAGTCTTTTCCCTCTGAAGGGTCCTCCAGTTTTGCATCCAAGCTGGTCAGGTGTCCAATCAGCCCTTTTGAACTGATGGCCCATTCAACCCAAGCCTGTCAAGTTCATGATGTCTGGGTTGTGGCCAGACTGGAGACCAAAGTGGGCATGAGGCTGAGGGGTCAGGATCAGGGGGAAGGGGCAGAGATACAGGTGGTGGACTGATTGGACTTAGTGACTGAGATTGCAGTGCTATCCCCTTGCATGGGTTTCAGTCCAAGTCTGAGGCCAAGAATTGCAGATAGAACTTATTTGATTTCAGACTGGGGAGTACAGGCTGAGTATCTAAAAGCTTATATACTAGAAGTATCTATAGTACAGAGACTGGTAATGCCGGTCTCTCAAAGATTGCTAAGATGATTGGTAAGACAAGTATTAGTAAGGTATGACTAAGGTAATGGTGACTGGGACAGGGCAAACTGGGGACAAGACTGGGCAGAATTCAACCAAAGTGACCTGCACTGCAAAGCAGTGTGTACCACACTAGCCCATCTGGGGATAAGGGATTGGCAAGGCCGAGGCCAAGTCTGGCCAGGGTCAATACATGACATTGCACCAATGTCAATCTAAACTTCAAATTTCATCTTCACATTTTCGACAACCTTAGAACCTGGTCTAAAACTCTGCTAACCACATTGTGTAAGAGAAAAATTACTACAGTATATGTACGCGCTTTTTTGCTTATGTAAGTGACACATCTTCACAACCAAGTCTATAAAACTATCAAAGCAGTTTATACTTCAACAGTTAAGTGTTGGAGAAGGTCAGAGTAGGCCCAGACTTGACAGGATGAGCAAGTTCTGCCTGCAGAAAAGTGTGCTGAGGCAAGACACATAGCCCACTTCACTGACTCAAACATGGACTACATTCTATGTCACACTTCACAACTCAGCTTACATAGAATACTACCAAGTCATGTTGATATCAAGGCAGGAGCAAGAAGAGTCTGAAGAGTACCATTTACACTGGGTACTTATCTGCTATGTAAGACTAGTGAGAGACTAAGTATGCAATACAGCCTGATATGAGTACAAAGATAGAAATCCAGGTGTAAAGTGCAGCGCCAAGCAACAAGTGTACTGTCCTCTGGAATTACAACGAACGTGGGGAGCAGGTGATATCAAACGGAAGGACCGCGGTGCAGGTGAAATCGTGTATATTTTCTGCACCCTTGCGTG